ATAAAAATTCAAAGCATAAAATAGTGAAGATAAACTGTGAAGATAAACTTATATTATTTATTTTAATATTAAGTCATTTATTATATATACAGTATATAATGTAGAATATTATTTTATAATTAAAATAATTTATCATTAATATATATATATATATATTTGTTCTGTCATTATATAGATGTCAAAATCCATCTTTTAACTTTGTTGTCATTAATTAATACATGTTGTTACTTAATCCCAAATAAATAATTCATTAACAATCTGCTTTGCCCATTTTGCCTTTTTCTTGTAGCAATTTGGCATTATGCCACAAATGCTGTTATATTTATATATATATATATATATATATATATATATATATCTCAACATACCCTGAAACTAAGCATATTTAATGAACCAGATCACTAAGACGTGTTATTTACTTTTTTATTTGGATGTGTGTGTGTTGTCATTCACTTCACTGCTTCTTCATCCTTCCACATCAGCTCAAAACACTGTATATGCACAGGTGCAAGCAGCTCAAAATACTTACACAGCATGAGCTCATAAAGCACAGGTCAGACAGACGTTCATCATTCATGAAACAATATTCAATATTAAACAAGGGAAATGGCTCATGTCAATCATCTGCTTGAAACACTGCTGACATACTTATTGGATTTTACTTCCCAGGTCAGGTTTCGCTTTTGGTGACCTATATATGTCAATTCCATATCCTGTTCCCTACCGGAGCATGTCCAATAGGTAAAAACCTCCATTTCATACAAGGAACCTTCCAGCAGGAATCTGAGGGATGTATGGATCATTTGACCCTGGTATCCTATTGGCTTTCAGAAAATGTCAGCATGAAGGATTCATTTGTAAGGTGACACCAAGCACTGTTAATTTTTCTCCTTCAACGTAACACAATACAGAACACAGACACTTAAAATACCAATCAATCAATCAATCAAAAAAAAAAAAAAGAGTATCAGTGTAATCAATCACAAGTAAACTAATATAGTTTATTGATGGCATGACAAAATCATTGAATGAACGTACTCATCTAAGATATTTTAAAAAGCGAAAAATAGGTGCTGACAGTGAATATTTTATTAAAATGCTGAATATATTATTTTTTGTTTTTATTTTAACCATATTATGAATTTTATTCACTGAATATGTTAAATATATTTTTTACATTTATTTAATTTTGCACACACACAAGTTTTTCAACAAGTCACTTATTTTTTTGTATAAAACGTTTCCAGTAAAAAAGGGATTTCTAAGATATTTTATGAATATGAGGTGTAAAATACATAAATATTATTCACTAAATATTTTGAATCTAAAACTTCTAAGATATTTTAAAAGGCATAAAATAACTGCTGACTGTGAATATTTTATTCAAAGGTCAGAATTTTAAAATTGTTTTTATTTTAATAATTGTATGAATATTATTCACTGACTATTTTACTAATTTTGAATCTAAAATTTCTAAAATATTTTGAAAGGCATAAAACAACTGCTGAATGTGAATATTTTATTCAAAAGTCAGATTTTTTAATGTTATTATTTTAATAATTTTATGAATATTATTCACTGAATATTTTGAATCTATAAATTTTGAATCTAAAATTTCTAAGATATTTTAAAAGGCATAAAATAACTGCCGACTGTGAATATTTAATTCAAAAGTCAAATAAATTTTTTTTTTATTTTATTCATTGTATAATTTGTATAAAATCTATAAATTCTATTTAAAAACATTCAAAATGCTGCAGCTTTGTTTTTTCAACTTTCAATTAGATTTTGACTCTCAAATTTAAAAGTCTATTAAATACACATATATTGGACACACTAAAATGTACAATACACCGTTCAAAATTGTCAGGTCAGTGAGATTTGCTTTGTTGTTGTTGTTGTTGTTTGTGTTGTTAAAGAAATAAATACTTTTATTTATCAAGGACACATTCAATTGATAAAAAGTGACAATAAAGGCATTTATAATTTTTACAAAATATATATATTTGAAATGCTGTTCTTTTGAACTTTCTATTCATCAAAGAATACCAAAAATATGAAACAGCAGAACTGTTTTATAGTGTACACACACACGCACAGGTTTGTTTTTGTGAATTGTGGGGACATTCCATAGGCGTAATGGTTTTTATACTGTACAAACTGTATTTTCTATTGCCCTACACCAACCCTACACTTAAACCTACCCCTCACAGAAAACTTTCTGCATTTTTAGATTTTCAAAAAAACTCATTCTGAATGATTTATAAGCCTTTTGAAATATGGGGACACTCAAAATGTCCTCATAAATCACCTTCTCATTGTAATACCTGTCATACCCATGTCATTATACAAATTTGTGTCCTCATAAATCACAAAAACGCGTGAACACACACACACACACACACACACACACACACACTTTACTCGCAATGTACGCAAGTACTTTTCAACAAGTCACTAGTTTACTTTGTGTAAAAACTTTTCAAGTAGAAAAAAAACACTTAATGCACCTTTAACAAGAAAGAGCTTTGTTTAAAGTTTTGCCCAATAAAAACGATTACTCCTGTAAGGAAATGTAGCCCATTTTATGTGCAGGGCACGACAGAAAAGTCTATGTAAAATGTAAGGTTGGCTGAGCAGATGCTTGCAGAGAAAGGTGAGAGTAGAGTCCAAGGCTGCGAGGCAAAACAGCAGACATGAAAGTGCAGCATCTATTTAATTTAATGGTCACTGCTGGAGGGTCTGATGTAAGGTACAGATGGATGACGTGAATCCTGAAAGAACAAAGGAAGTAGGGAAGAGCAATCCCTTAAGACTCACAGGGACCGGCCTGCTCTGTCCTTGGTCAGGGCTCAGGACAGGTAACTCATTACAAGCCATTTAAGTAGACCTCGGCTGATGGATGTGACTGTTCGCAGGAAATCAAAGTATGAAACATAGATCCAGCCACTTGAATATGCTGTTCTACAACACAAGACACATGCAATACAAGCCGGGATATTCCGGTGGGATTTGACGTGTATGTGAAAGAAGTCTGGGAGGGATCGGATGACTGTCTGCGGCTCTCACATTCCCTGTTACTAAAAATAAGCGTGCGAATAAAGGTGCTCGGATGAAATGTGCGAGATGTCACACAAGCAGCAGGCGTAATTTGTGCAAATGATATTCCTAAATAATCTACGCTAATTACCGAGGTCAACCAAAATTATTCCCTCCATATGTCTGCTGTCTGAAAAATGTCCCTCTGAGAAAAAAATAAAAAATGCATGGGCAAGTGTGTGTGTGTGTGTTGTAGGGGACAAGGTAAAAAGATGACTGACTGACTGCCTTTGTCACACTATTTGAGGAAGGGAATGAGTCATGCATTAGTGAAGCTGCTCCAGCTCTGTGGCTGCCCAACGGATTTTGTGTTGATCGCGTGAAAATGACTTTTGAAGGATTGTTTTTCTCTTCACACCTGCAGCCTGTTCCATAGTCTTTCATGCGGACGAGGATGAACAGGTGTGCTACTGCTGCTTTTGGTATAAAAGAAGCTTGGTTAATTCAAATCGTCTGTCAATGCACCAAAAATGCCCCAACACTTCCATGAAAACTCTTCTATGGAAATCCAATCTGATGACGAGAAATGAAGATCATGAATGATGTGGAAATGCCTTGTATTTTCTCAGTTTAAACCACTTTTCAAGAAAGAATAATTGTGTTTATTGATTTACGGCTATGTGGGTGTTTCGAGTATTAGCAGACAGACTAAATCACATTGGAATCACCTAATCCCAGACTAAAGTGCTTGAAATCCCTTCACCGTTAAATACTGGCCTCCTCTTTCTTTTCTGCCAGATGTTTATACGTTTTTTAAAAAATAATAATTAAGCATGTTTATTAATCTCTTTCTGCTAGTGTGTGAATGTAGAACAGCCTTCGCTATGTTTGAGCTAATACTTGAGCCTGAGAATGTACAGTGCTCTTCAAAATCCGCATTGTCTTTACAAGATCATTTCAAGTCATTATCACTTTTACAACAGAGACGGAGAGTCTTTATGGTGTTGCAGGTATGCGGTGCTGTCAAACAATTGTCTGAAGTGTTAATTGAGTTAGCGGTGCAGAAGTTGCTTTGTACTCACAGATCTGCTGCATCGACAAACTCCACGGCTTCATAGTTCATGCATAATAAATTTTGCAAATGTTTACATATGCTGCTTGTATACTGGTCACTTTTAATTCTGGTACTGATAAATAAGCAAAGTAAATATTTGATGCCTTATTCACACCTATTCTTCATAGAATAGCTTTTGGCTGACAAAACTGAAAACATGCAGCTAGAGAAATTAAATCTGTACATAATTAGCGTTATTTCCAATCAGTGTCCAAAATTAACTTGCTGCCAGCCAATGCTGGGTAAACTGAGAAAATTTACCTGCAATAAATAGTTAATGATTTAAAGGGACAGTTCACCCAAAAATGAAAATTCTGTCATACTCATGTTGTCCCAAACCTGTAAGACCTTCTTCGTTCATCTTAGGAACACAAATTAGGATATTTTTGATGAAATCCGAGAGCTTTCTGATCCTAGACAGTAACGCAACTGACATGTTCATGGCCCAGAAAGGTAGTAAGGACATCATTAAAATAGTCCTTGTGACATCAGTGGTTCAACCTTAATTTTATGAAGCTACGAGAATACGTTTTGTGTGCAAAGAAAACAAAAATAACAACTTTATTCAACAGTTTCTTCTCTTCCGTGGCAGTCTTTGATGCACGTTCATGAGAGCACCACGACGCATTTGTGTTCTGAAGATGAACAAAGGTCTCATGGGTTTGGAACGACATATGGGTGAGTAATTAATGACCGAATTTTCATTTTTGGGTGAACACTCGTTTAGTACTTCAAACACTCAGCTCAGAGATTATCAAAGGAGAAGCCTTGAACGGCTTATTAATGTGGCCAAACAAGCCTCTTTAATAAAGCCGTTTAATCCCTACTAAAGCAAAACGGTACTCACGGTCACTGCAGAGGGGACCGCCGTTTGTCGTCATAGTGCAGTCGCAGGTAAACCCCTCCCACTGCTGCAGACACACTCCCTGATTGGAGCACGAGTCCTCCGTGCAGGTTGTGCCAGGGCCGGCTGAAACAAGTTATAATTATTATAAATCACATAGACTATCATCGTGTCAACACTGACACAAGCCATTTTTTTAATTTAGTCTTAGTCCTAGTCTTTTAAATTAGTCTTAGTCCTGTGTCAAATATACTTTTTAGTCATCATATTTAGTCAACCTTGTCCTGTTTTTGTTCAGTCAAGTTTTAGTCGACTACAGTGGGTACGGAAAGTATTCGGACCCCCTTCAATTTTTCACTCTTTGTTATATTGCAGCCATTTGCTAAAATCATTTAAGTTAATTTTTTTTCCTCATTAATGTGCACACAGCACCCCATATTGACAGAAAAACACAGAATTGTTGA